CACAGAAAGAACTGTGAGCAAAATCCAATACATAAGAGTTGAGTTTATAACTAAATCGTTATTTCTTTAAAAAGTTTACATCCGTGTTTTACAAAATGTGGTCCCTAGACCAGCTGATCAGAATCTCCTGTGTTAGTTGTTAAAAAGAAAAACACAAAACCAAAAAAACCCTGAATTCGAATCTTGGGTAGGCTTGGTGCCTAAGAATCTGCATTTTAATTAGTACCCAGGTAGCTGATCCCTGAGAATCACAGACTTAGGTTCCCGGAATTCATCAGGTTCTCTGTAAACATGCACATTCTCAAAAAGGTGTAAAAATAAACTACAGCAGCAAGACTCTGTTTGCTGAACAAACAGCAAAGTGCATGTTATTTTAAGCATTCTAAATAGGATATCTAACCCTCAAGTATTTGGCGTTGAATCAGTTGTTAAAAAGGACTATGTTAAATTTACAAGGGCTTTGACAAGATTGGACAGAGACAGGGGAGCACTTAAAATCAATAGAGTAAGAATGTCCATCCTTGTTACCATTTTTTAGAAGTTAAGTGCTTCCTCTCTGGGAGTTGTGCTGCCCACTGGACAAAGCGGTTTAGGCTAAAACGGTTAAAGCCTGTCCTGTGAGAAATGACAAAGACACAAGAATGTTAATGCCAGAATGGGCACATTTCTCTGAGGCAGAGTTCCTTCTCAACTCTTCTACTTACTTTTCAGAAACACCAGGCTAACGGAGTGTTACATTTTCAAAATAAAACACCCAAAAATCTCAAGTTAAGTTATCTTATTTGGTTGCATAAATTAATGCACAATTGACAAAATTTTATTTTAGTATAGGTTGGATCCTTTCCCCACTTTAAGGGAGAATTAGGTATATTTGTGAGTTAAGTAATACGATCTTCCAATGTTTTTGTCCCCTACTGAGTGTTTTTAGTTGAAATCAGTATTCATTTCCTTTGTGAATTCAAAGTGAGTTCCTTTGTTGTAGGTGTTGCTGTTGCTAATCTAGATATGTGTCTGGGTGGAGAGTCTTTTCCATTATTTTTATCTTTATTAAATACTCACCCCTTAATTGCTCCAGTCAGAGTAATGGTTTAATTACTAGTTACAGAAAGGGAAAGTTCTAGAAGTTTCTTTCACACAAATTAGAAGTTAATAACTGACACAATTCTAAAAATTTTCATGCTTAGCTAAACAGCAGTTTATCCTTTCTTTTTACGCATAGTCTTGGATGCTTAAAAATTCAAATGTTTTGCCTTTTTGAACCAACAAAAATTAAGGGAATTTTTAAAAATATTTTTTAAATTTTTAGACAAATGTTCTTTTTACTTCTCTCAGCTTACAATTCAAAAATCACCGAGGAATTTTTCCCCCCATGAAACTGAAAACAATTGTGAATGATTTCTATAGAAAAAATAAACTCTGGGACAAAATACCTGACATGTTTCACATTGTAAAAGAATTAATCAAGTACAGAAGAATAGACACAAATAAAACAGGTATAAGACACTGAAAGAATTCATTTTGCCAGCAGTCATTTTTCTAAACAAGATGAGCTAGAGTTAGGGTGTAAGTTATCTCATCAGAGAACACTTGATGGACAGTTAATTCTAACTAAACTCGTGTCACTTCAAACTAAAGCAAGAATGCTTTGTAAAGTGATTACCGCCCCCCCCCCCACACACGGAGTGTTGTTCTCATAAATGCATCCATTTCCATGCTTAGTCCTGATTCTACTGAGTATAATAAATAGTATAAAAAGTGTTTAAACCTGAAAACCTCCGTGACGATCCATTAAGCCCACGTGACATCTCCCTTTTTCTCTTGATTTCGTGTCCCCCTTTCCCTTGCATTACTCTAGTGTGGCTCAGAGACTGACTGCAAAGATTAATAATTTCTCTATCTCTGTGTTTAATCACAGCATGCATACCACTTTCACCTCCAAACCTGTGCTCTCACTTATTCCCTTTCCTACATCTTCAATCTCTCCTGCTTCTTATTCAAGCCAGTAAATGTGATTATGTCTCCTGTATTTAAGAACAGCTGTTTCTTAACCCAATTGCTCCCTGAATTACTAGGCTCTCTCTCTTAAAACTCCTAACTTTTTGCTGTCTACACTTCACCCCCTAAGCAATCAACTCTTCAACCCTTTATGATCTGATTCTTGCCCCCATTCTATTCTCTTGAAGATTCACTATGACCTCAAAATAATCAAATTCAAAATTCACTCTCCTTGATAGGCCCCTCTTTTGAAATTCTCTTAACTTCTTTGCTTCAGGGCTAGCTTGCTAGGTGTGGAACCTGTATTTGTGCAGTTAGTTGCACAGAGCCCCAAGTTCCCCCTGCTTGCTTTCATAGTCTGTTGTTGCTGCCTCAAAATTCTTCATAATTTTTGAATAGAGGGCCCTGCTTTTTCATCTCACACTGGACCCTGTAGATAATGTAGCCAGTCCGTCTTAGTCTTTATAACACCACATTTGTCTGGTCCTCCCATCTCTTTGACCTCTTTCTCTGTCTCTTTTGCAGGTTCCTCTTCTCCCTCCCTCCCCCAAAATGTGGTCAATCCCAAGCATGCCCTCTCTCCCCCATTCCTACATTCCCACCATTTATTCTTAGTATTTCAACTAAGAA